TCCCTACACACCCTGACCACAACTGAACAGCAACTCAGGTATGTACACTGAGTGGGAATCAAACCAAGGACCTTTGAGTGCATGGGAGGATGCTCAACCAACTAAGCCCCACTGGCCAGGCCTGTACCCCATGATTTTAAACATATTATATTAAGATGCACTAGTCCTTCTGGCCAGTGGGGCTCAGTTGGTTGAGTATCGTCCCATGTATCCACATGTTACTTATTCAATTCCCAGTCAGGGCTGGGGTTATGGGCTGGGTTCCTAGTAGGTGGTGTGCAGGAGGCAGTGAATCAATATTTTGCTCTCACATAGATGTTTCTCTTTCTCTCTCTCTCTAAAATTCAATTTAAAATCTTTAAAAACAATGCACTAATAAAATAGGGAAAACCTGATTTATGATATTGCTCTGTGGTATGTAAAAACTTAGTGATTCAGCATTCCATTTGGTTTATTCTGGTGCAACATACAGAATATGATGCAAAACATTGTACTATCAAAAATCTTCTAATGTCACGAAAAAGAGTAATGGGAGTATAATTTGTGACTTTAGAATTAATGCATATTCAACTATGTACTTTAGTCTCTCCTCCTTTCCATATCATACTCTGCAGAATGATGATAAGTGACTGTGATGTTAAATGTGTCGTCTATAGTCATTTCCTCTCATTTAATTATATTACTTGACATAAGTTAGACATACATTTTGGCTATGAGCACATCATGATGATGAATGATAATATTCTAATATAGTCTACCATGGCTATCAGAACTAATTTTATATACAACCTTCACAACGCACCAGTATCTCTGATTTCTAACTACATCATAGAGAGGGAAGTGTATCGATCTTAATGTAATGACTAAATAATTGCATTATTGTGACAACAATAAAGTCCTGTTCACAAAAGAAAGAGAAATTTTAATAGAAAATGTAATTTAAAAGTAGGCAAGGCTTGCTCAGCAGGTGTGGCTCAGTGGTTGTCCATAGACCCATTCACCATGAGGTCACCAGTTTGATTCCTGGTCAGGACACATGCCTGGGTTGCTGGCTTGATCCCCAGTAGGGGGCATGCAAGAGGCAGCTGATTGATGATTCTCTCTCATCATTGATGTTTCTCTCTCTCTCTTCTTCTCCCTTCCTCTCTGAAATCAATTAAAAAAGAAATATATAAAAATTTAAAGTAGGCAAGGCTGAATATTTGTAAGCCAGCATTGCTGCTTTATCTTCTAAAAGATCTACTGATGTGCCTTGATGTACCTCAGGAATTGAAAAGGGAAGCCTGCCAAGGACTTTCAAGTGGTTCGCAGGGACCAGACATACAAGGTCGTTAAGATCCTTTGAACGATGCTTATTGTTCACTCTGGCAATTTGAAATAATTTGTGCCAGCCACTAATTTCTTGACTATTTTAATTTTGCTTTCCAACTTTTAATATCTGTTGCATTTTGAGCACAAAGGTTAATCAACAGCACTTGAAGGCACCCTAGAAAATTTTGTGTCCCTAAAGGTACATTATAGTCTGTGTGTGGAGGTCTGTAATAGTTAGTGGATTCCGCATAGGGCTGTATTTTAACTTAAGTGAGAATAATAATTGGGTGATGACTCACCCAAATCTCGTTACATGTCTTTGGCAGCATTAAAAGATCTACATACAACCATTCAGCAGAGGGTAGCTGATTTTCTGATAAGACTTGGTAGTTAAATATGACAATTGGTTGGGCCAAATATAATCTAATCTACCTTTTATAACAGGAATCCCATGAAATTTCTGAGCCACAAATTAAAGTTTTCAGATATTCTGGACCTAGAAACTTGTAAAAAATTTAGCAAAAAAGAGTAAACGAAGCCATCTTTCCTTTATCAGTTTTTTTGCCTAATTTTAAAAAGTAAATGTAAAATTGCTGTAAGAAGATTATCCACCAAACAAAATATCTAGCATAACTTTTCAGTATGTTTGAAAGAATTACATTCATTCAATATGAAGTTTATATGTGAAACTTTCAGGATTACTATTGTACTTCATTAATCTCAATGTAAATTTAGACCATCCTAGGCTACACTCTTCTTTCTAGAGGTGAGAGTTGGAGATTCATTCAGTATGGTAAATCAAGGATTCAAATATCACACACTAACACACACATAGTCTTCCAAAGTTTTAGTTAACTAGATACATTTGTAAGTGGAATAAGAGAGTTATGGGCCATGCATGTAACGTGTATATATTATAGAATCTAATAGACTGACTGTGTTACCAGGCAGTCTTGTGTTCTGCCCACTTGCTACCAACTTGACTTTGAACAAGATATTTTGGCAGGATAAATTCTCACACA